CAGAGTATGGGGTGCTGTGGGGACACAATGACCCGAAGTCCTTCCAAAACCATGCAGCAGTTCAATCTGCATTTTAGGAGTTTTTAGACCATGATTTCAGGAGCAACTAAAAAAAAAAAAAAAAAAACCAAAAAAAAACCCAAAACAAAGTAACCACGCCTGGCAGCCTCTTATTTACTGTGAACTGTAAAATAAACTCTGGAGGCAATGTTATGTTCTTAAGGAGTCACTGTCAAATTAAAAACAATAGAAAACACACTTGCATTTAAAATCTATTTGGCTCCTGGTATTGTATGTCACACAAACTTCAAAACAGATGCTATTAGTAGTATTTTATTCTTTTGCCTGGCGTGTTGGCAATCTTCAGAGCTATTTTGGTGGATCTTCCACACAGCAACAGGAATGAGAAAACATTTTTGAAAGTGTGATTGTAAAACCACAAAATACTGACTTGGGAACTTGGTGACTTGTCCCTGAAGCTGCCCTTATTTCAAACCAAAAAGGAGCCCAACAGACATGCACTAAATTCTAGATTCCCCACCCTTACTAGTCACCATTTCCTCAGCTATACACAAACTTAAAACAGTCTGGCTTAAAACTGTTACTGCTGGATGGGTTGTGCTACTCTGTAAATAAAGAGGTTATTCTCTTCTCTATATCCAGAATCCTATTTGCTTGTCTATTTTTTCCACAAGAAAAACAGAACAAAGGAAATTTCTGGCTTTGCCAGCGCCTGCTCTCTGCTTTGCTGAAGCATATTGATCTCTGTCTGGGCAAGCCATCCTCTCACAGATCCCAGCTGCCCTGTTCTCTCACTGCCCTCTGGCAAGAGTCTCCTTCAGCAAATCAATAATGTATCTCAGAGCCTGCCTTTTCCTGGGGAATGCAGCCTGCCTCTCTTTACCCATGCAGCTCAGGGGAAGGAAATGCAGGCAGGAGCCGGGGCTGGCTGAATCAATGGGCTGGGCTGGGTTGCCCCAGAAGCAGGCAAGACTTGGAATGCCAAGTCAGCTCACTGTCACTCCTTGGGCTCCAGGATGCTTCTCACAACCTGCAGCACCCTCCCAGGTGCCTCAGTCAGGCAGGCTGAAACAGAAAAACAGCCCTGACCAGGTCTATATGGGAAGAGAGGTATTTTTGGATAAACAGAATATCTCAAAGGATATTACTATTTTAGTCAAATGCTGGTTTAGAACTGCGCCTCTTGCACAACTATGTGAGGATGCAGTCTGTAATTACATGTGATGTTCTGAGATGTTTTTTTTCCTGTGGGATTCTAGCATCATTGGTGAGCAGAACAGCTAGTGACCACTTGGTGAGTGCCTGCTCAGTAATTTGATTTCTTGTCTGTTCTGTGTTTGTGCAGCTTCACAAGCCAAATGTTGCCCCAGCCGTGTTCTGCAGAGGATTATTCATTGGTGTTCCTCAGGGGCCCGCCAATACTAATGTAGATGTTGTTAGACACCTCCAGGAGCAGAGGGGCAAGTTTTCATACCAGTGGTACTACTCAAGTAATGATGGTCATGGTATTGATACAGGAAAATTTTCTCTCATGGCAAAAGCAGATGAAGACATTCCCTCTCTCTTTGGTTCATCTCTCCAGCTTCCCACTTGCACTCTGGCAGCAGAGTTCCCTGCCTCCACAGCAGCACTGACCCAAACATTTACAAGGCTGGTCTGTAAATCATCTGCACGGCAAGCCCGCAGTTTCACTAGTGCATTTGTGGAGTTGGTAGCTGCCACACAGAGCAATTAACAGCCTAAGGGCAGATGTGACATGAAGGAACAGATCTAGCTTTGATACTACAGAAAATCTTCATTTACAGAATCAGAGAATCTCTAGGTTGGAAGAGACCTTCAAGACCATGAAATCCAACCCACACCCTAGCACCTTAACTAAACCATGGCACCAAGTGCCACATCCAATCTTTCTTTAAGCATATCCAGGGATGGTGACTCCACCACCTCCCTGAGCAGACCATTCCAGTACTTTGTCACTCTTTTTGTAAAAAACTTTTCCCTAATATTCAACCTATATTTCCCTTGGCACAGCTTAAGACTCTGTCCTCTTGCTCTGTCAGCTGCTGCCTGGAGAAAGAGACCAACCCCCACCTGACCACAGTGACCTCTCAGGAAGTTGTAGAGGGTGATAAGGTCACCTCTGAGTCTCCTTTTCTCCAGGCTGAACAACCCCAGCTCCCTCAGCCGTTCCTCACAGGGTTTGTGTTCCAAACCCCTCACCAGCCTTGTTGCCTCCTCTGGACGCCCTCAGGTATCTGAATATCCTTCCAACTAAACCTTATGGCTGATAGAGAAGATGAACAAGGGACATGGTACTTCGGATTCTCAGTCTGAGTCATCTCCCAACTTTTTTTTTTGCTTACTTTTTCAAAGTATTTAGCTTTTTTTTGTTTTTGTACTTCTTTTATTAGGACTAGAAGTCTGGTGATCTCAGCTGTAGCTGTGGCAGTGCAGGCTGGATATCTGAGGATGGGGCACATACCTGCAGTGGCCAGCAAGCTGGAGTTTAAGCTGCTGCCCAGAGCTGTGTAAGCAGAATTGTCATGCAAGCAAAAAGAGATTCTAGTTCTGCTAAGTGGCATTTAACCATCTTGCTCCTGAGACCATCCCATCTCCATCATACCTCCCTTCTGGGGAGGTATATACCACATTGTTCACTGTACATGGTCCAGTTTTTGCAAAAAAAGAACAGATAACCCAGATAACACCCCTCCTCAGTGCCCAGCTACAATTCATCCCCAGAGCACCATCCACCTCAAGCATTGAGAAACAGAGGCACTGTGTGGAAAACAACACACAATCCACCACTGAAACCTGCAACATGCTGAATATATGCAGGGGGAGGATAAAGTAAGAACAAGTCCTGCAGCACGATCTTTCAGGTCATATTTAAAGCAAAGACAAGATACTCGTCATCTGAATTCATGCATGTCACCACAAGATCATTAGCCAGCTTGATGAATGCTGTAACTCCACAACATGGCCTTCTGCCATTTGAGCTGGAGGATTAACCTCTGTCCGTGGCAAATTGCCATCTCTTACACAGATGAGCAGTGCAAGGGCTTGATGATTTCTTGCTGTTATTTGTTGACAGCAGAGGAATAGCAAATTGTGGGTGCAGCTCCATGTTTCCTGGTGCTGGTCCATCAGCAGAGGACATCCCACTCCTCTCAACTCTGCAGCAGCGATGAGCCCCTCCACCGCTCTGCTTCCTTGCCCTGGCTGGGGGCAGGATTAGCAGGGGGCAGTGCATGGGATGAGGAAGGGATGGTGTGAGCTGGAGGCAGAAATCTGCGCAGCAGCTGTCCCTGAGGCCACACCGGCTGTGATCAGCCGGCCCCCGACGGGTAATGCACCCTCCTCCAGGTTCGGGAGGAATTGATGGATAGTACTCCTGCTGCCTTTGTACTTCCTAGGCACACTTTAAATCCCTCCCCTTCAACCCACTGAGTATCTCTGCCTTGCTCAGAAACTCTGTTTTTACATTCCGGCGTCTCTGTCTGCTTCCCCACGCCCACCAGGTCCCTCCACGCAGCTGCAGCCCCCACGCTCGGGTCTCTCCAGACGCTGAAGGAGGGGACTTGCAGCACCATCTGCCCTCACGGGCTCCCGCCCTCCCCTTCCAGCCGCCCCCATCCCGCCTCATCCTCTCTCCGGCCCTGTCACCTCCCGCCCGCCCTGCCCCCAGCGCTGCCTCC